TATTAACTCCTCCAATCCTTTGTGCTGTGAGGACAGCTCCATCCAGAGAGATGCAGGAGTATACCGCCAACGTCCTGGTGACACTAGGCAGGAAAAGAATAGGGAAGGTTTGAAAACTATATTTGCATTGTTTTTATGAGTTACATATGACATTTAAAATGGAGAATACAGCCTGCATTATAAGAGCACAATTTAAGAGAATTGGGCCCCTCTCTTGAACCTGGGTCATACGAATCTGGTGAGCTGAGTGATGTTGTCTCTGGTGCTTCCCGGAGAGCAAGTTGCCACACCCAGTGCCATCTATGGAGCCTGCGGAAGTGAGCATGGTGTGTGCAGCTCCTCCTGCATGTCCCATTCTTGTTGTGGAATGTTTAAAAACCATCCTGACAAGATAAAGGCTACAAAGGTCTCAAGTAACTAAACTCTTAGATGAAAAACAGACCTTCGGCAGACCTAATATGTTAATTTTCTTGCATGGATGCATGTTTGGATACACGTGAGATATTTTTTATACTCCATCTACTGGCACTCTTCACATTTATTATGGTCAATGTGTGAATGAAATAAGCCATTTTCCCCCTCCAGAATTGTGCATTTCATTTTCAAGGTAGAAACACCTATAGAAAAGGTAGCTAAAATATATATAATTTTTGGGCTGGAAAGAGAAGCTACCTAACATCATCTATGTTCTTGAATTGTTATTATGTTGTGCTACTTCTAGGACACTGGTAATTTCTCCCCATTTGCCTCTTCTAAGAGAAATTATATATATATACATTCCCTCTATCCCTGAGAGGCTGAGCAGAGGAGGTCACTTCTTCCTCTGTTCCAGTCTAAACTTTTGCCTGTGCTTGTGCCACATCACTAGTTTCCAAGCCCAACAGAGAAACAGACTCCTTGGACAACATTGGTGAGATGCATATTCAGGCCTCAGCCCTGATATTTACACATTTGTAAGTACTTCGTGGAGGCCTGCACATGTCAGCACTGTCTCCTGTATTTCCTTTCTTTGTGGTGCTTGAAATTGAATCCAGAACCTCAGAAAGAACAGAAAAGCACCCTACCAGTGAGCCATCCCTGATGTGGCTTTTCAGGTAATAAGTCAGATTTTTAAACCTGCCTTGAGGCTGGGGAGATAGCTCAGTGGCATAAGCACCTGCCTGCAACAACCATGAAACTCATCCCAGGAACCTGTGCCATGTTCATTCCATATCAGCAAAATATATTTAATATTTTCAAGCAAATATTTTCAGTCATCTTCTTTTCACATCATATATTACCTTTTCTATTTGTGGTACCTGGGATCAAACTTGGGACTATGTGCTTGCCAGGCAGATAGTTATGCCACTGAGCTGTCTCCCTGACCCCTGACATTATACATTAAATGGTAATAGGTACCTAGAAATAAATGCTGTTGGAGATGGGCTTTGTGGTCCACAAGTTCTCTGTAGTATTCAGGATTGTCAGATAGAGTCAGCTGAGATTCAAAAGCTTCAGCCAAATCTGAAAGAAGAAAGCATCCTTTATGACTTCATCCCTCGCCACTGGGAGAGCCCATCCTAGGTGATCTCTAAATATTATTTAACCTGGTATAATTGAGGCCACAAAGTGCAATACTGCATCATTTCTAGACTCATTACAACACTTCCCAAAATTCAGAGAAGAACCTAGTTGTGATACTGCAATGGCTTTTGCCCCCATTCAATATAATGTTCCTCCTTCTGTGTCTGAATACCTCTTTATTTGGCTTATAGTAGAACTGTGAAAAATCTCTTTTTAAAATTCTCTAGTCATGAGTTTGATAGCTCTTCACTAATCCCAACAGAAAGGAACCTCACTCAACAGCTGCTGCCTTTCAGAGTTCGTCTCATGCTCATCTGAGATACAAAGGAATCATTATTGTGACACTCCAGAAAATCTTAGAGAACTTTCAGTAATGCATACACGCATGAAGCCATCACTCATATTATATTCCATTTTTTCTTTTCCTCACCTATGAAAATTCTCCTACACATAAAAGTATAAAGATTGAAAAAGCCAGCACCAGCTCACAATTATGGAAAATAAAGGAGGACATGGAGGTGCCCCAGAGGTAGGAGAGGCAGAGAAGGAGCCCCCTCCCTCGTACCTGGACCCGTGTCCACCATCTTTGCTACCCATTCATTCATACTCAGTCTGACGATTTCCTGCTGCTCATTCACCTTCCATGAAACAGGGTCTTTCAAAAACACCACACAGCAGAATGGCTCGACTTTGACCGCAACGAGGTAACCACATAAGGCTTCCTTTTTATACACATCAATGACTTTGATCTCATAGGACACTTGTGCATCAGTGGAGCAAAAGTGGAAGATTTTTAACTTGGAAATGGCTTGTGCTATCACTCTTTGCAGAGAGTCGGGGTCAACATTTTCTTTCGTGCATCCCAGGACTTGCCTACTCTTATCATCCACTCCAATAAAAAGATAGCCCCCTCCGGTGTTGGCAAAGGCAGGGATGTACTCTTGAGTTACTCGTTTTACATATTCTTGGATATTTTTTGTGGAGAATTGTTTAAACTCTACAGAATGAGACTCGGGAAAAGACAGGATGTGACCATAGGCAAGCTCCTTGCTTTTGAAAACTTGGAAAGCAGGATTTGATTCCATGATGTCCTGATGCATAACTCTGAGGAATTTGTTAGGTTTCAGTTCTTTAATCAGAGTATTTTGTGCATTCCTTTTCTTAGTCTTCAGGAAATCGTATGCCTGCCTTGATTCCTGACACTGCTTAGAGGTACCAGATCTGCGGTACAGGGAAGAACTCACGCTGCAAATGCAGGGCTTGGTGCAATTGTCTTCAGGCAAAGCACCCCTGCTCCAAGACTTAACAAAAATGTGGAAAAACCTTCCTTGTTGCCGGGTCTCAAAGAAATCCTGAAGAACATCTGAAGATGGAATCAGCTCTCTCAAGGCCTGCTGCAAGTCCAAGCCCAGCTCCAGAGGATGGTCAGCCTCGTTTGCTATTTCCATCTGAATCACTCCTCCTCCTGAGTTTAACAGAGCACACGCAGCCCGCTCAACTTTCTTCTTCTCTTTATTCTTCTGAGTTGTCTGCAGCTTTTGCCTGTACTCTTTACCAAGGGTCACCTTTCCTACATGGATGACCAGGTCTGGCTGGGATGGTTGCAGCACAAGCGAGCAGTCATCTGTCTGCATGTTGGTCCCAGAGCTGAAAGTAATGGAATATTTGTTTCAGTTTTAGTATATAGTTAATTGCTCTATGCACTGAGTTAATTTTCTCATTATCAGAAAACATTTACACTGTGTTTTTAGACAAAACAATAAAGGAACAAATCAGACTACCACTCTCTTTTTTAAAATTCTCTAGTCATGAGTTTGATAGCTCTTCACTAATCCCAACAGAAAGGAACCTCATTCAACAGCTGCTGCCTTTCAGAGTTCATCTCATGCTTATCTGAGGTACAAAGGAATCATTATTGTGAAACTCCAGAAAATCTTAGAGAACTTTCAGTAATACATACATACATAAAGCCATCATTCATATTATATTCCATTTTGTATTTTCGTGGAAAAGTGGTGGAAAGTATGTGAAAATTAGTGAAATTGAAGTAACTGGTGAGATTGAGAAAGGGCATTCAGGTTCGGGGACGTGGCCAGGGGTAGAACTCTCACCCTGCTTGCATGAGGCTCTGGGTTCTGTTCCCAGTTCTCCTCTGCCCAGAAAAAAACAGAAATGACTTTCAGAAAACTGGGGATGAAGCATCAGAAATTCAATATTGCTCTACTATTTTTGAATTTCTTATCCAAGTTAAAAGGAGCTCAAAGGGCTGGGGAGATAGCTCAGTGGTATGAGCACTTGCCTGGCAAATGAAAGTTTCGGAATTTGATCTCTGTGCCACCCCAAAACCCAAAAATAACAAAAGGTGATCGAATGTAGTAAAGGGACTGTGTTGAAAGAGAAAAGGAATAGGGCTACAGGGGAGAGAAAAGGGAGGAAGAGAGGGTAATAGGAAGGGTGGAGATGATCAAAGAATAACATGTGCATGTATAAAAATATTAAAGTGAAACTCATTAATGAATATGATTTAATATGTATTAGCAATGATTTTCAGTGTGAGATTAAAGGAGATAAGTCACACCAAGCTTTTAGTCCTATGTCTTGGCTCATAGATGTTCAGTAATTCAACCCACATTAAGTATCATCATGTCACAGTAGCTGGAGGAATGAGGGGCAGCCCGGAAACAACAGTACCAAGTTCTTGATCACATGTACACAATGATAATTTAGGGCCTCAGAGACACTTGGATGATTTGAGTTAATTTAAGATAATTTACATATCGATAATGGGCAGCCATACCGTGGAAACAACAAACATGTATTGCATAGGACACTTCGCATTTTACAGGAGCAGACGAAGTGTTCAGGGCATGCTACCATTCCACAGGCAGCAGAGTAGCCACCATTCCTTAGGTATTCTGGGAACCGTTGGCCTTTGCATAGACCAGCCATAGAATTTTAATACTTTCCTCCATTTTTGTCCCTTGATCAAATGATGACCAGCCATCCCACTACTCACATATTCATCCTTCTTCCTTGGTACTTTCACAAAACATTGTATCCCTCTTTTCCCCTAATGATACATGGGTTTAGGGAATTTTTTGTGAACAGCACTGAAGTGTCTAGAGAAGTTGTTTTCAAGCTACATAGTCTGTGTTAAGGGCACCTAATCATTTATGACACCAGGAGGACAGGTTTGGGGCCCTGTTTCTTGCCTTAGAGAGTGAATCTCAGGAGGTTCTGCATATTCTCCATGCTCTGAAATGTCTTCCTTGAAAGTTTTAATGCCCCTTCCAAATCCTGGTATAAGTCTGGAGCAGCAGTGTGTTTTCCTCATAGGCTGTGCAAATCTGCTAAAAAATGCCAGTGTTCTGAATTCTTCCATTTGTAATATTCAATAGCCATCTACCTAGAACAGGTAACACTCTTGAAGACAAACCCAACCTCACAGCAGTTAACACAGAGAATCAACAACTGGGATCTAATCTCATTACAAAGCTTTTACACAGCAAGAAAAACCATCAACAGAGTAAAGAAACCACCCACCATGTGAGAAAAAATGTTTGCAGACTCTTCAATAGAAAGGTTTATTATTGAGAATGTATAAATAACTAAAAAAAAAATCAGACCTCCCTAATTGAAAGACCCAATCCAAAACTGAGCATAGGAGATGAATACATACCTTTCATATGAAAAAATACAAACAGCAAATAAATAATATCAAAAGATGTTCAACATGACTCATCAATTGAGAGATGAAAATTAAAATGACACAGAGACTCCATCTTACCCTGCAAAGAATGTGTATTATTAAGGAAACAACTGGTCACAAGTGCTGGAGTCACTGTGGAGAGGTGGAAGGAACTCTTGTCCACTGTGGGTGGGAGTGCAAACTGGTACAGCCACAGTGGCAATCAGTATGGAGATTCCTCAAAAAACTAGGACTGGGGCCTGTGAGAAAGCTCAGCAGCTTAAACGCCTGCCAGGCAAGCACAAGGTCTTGAGTTCAATCCCCAGCACCATACTACTAAATAAATAACTACATAAATAAAACCCCAATTAGGACTGGTGGTCCATTTGACTCAACTATTTCTTCTCTGGGTATGTTCTCCAAAAATTGAAACATCATTCCATAGAGATATACGTGCACCCATTTTGATAGCAGCACAGTTTGTGCTGTGAAAACAACCCAACAACCCATCAACTGAGAAACCGATTAAAAAAGATGTGGTCTTTTTATATAGTGGAGTATTACTCTTCCACAAGGAGGGATAAACTGGAGACTTTTATATCTATCTAATGGATGCTACTTGAGACTATACTCACAAGTGAAGTAGACCAGATGCAAATGTATCAGCATTGTAGTGTCTCCCTAGTGAGAAGCTGAAAGAGTAAATGTCACCCAAAATGTATGACATACTATAAAACGGGAGGAAACTTCAAAAGGAAAAAGAAACTGGCTTAGGGGGGTGGGAAAAAAGAAGGAAGAAAAAATCAAAAGGAAAAAAATATATTTATGTACATAAAAAAGATAGTTAAGCTAGTTATACTGCTAATGTCGCTCAGTTCACTGAAAAGATAGATTTGTGCTATTATTGTTTGGACCCTTAAATGCTGTTATCTCATACCTGAATAACTAATTTAAACATAACAATATGCAATGTGTTGAACATTGTTACCTGTCTATCATATTGTTTTGGGATGTTGCCCTTTGGTTTTGGTTTTTTAAATTTAAAATAAACATGTTTTAATAAACCCCATAGGACTCATGCCTATGGGATTGTTCTGGAACTCACTGCCCAGCTTCTGGTTTCGAGAGCGTGGTCTGATGAGTGATCACCCTCACTGGCTGGGCTGGCATTTCTTACACAGGATCTTGTGAGGTAGGCTGGGGCCAATATGCTGGTGTCTCAAGCTGCTAATGCTGACAGGGAGCCCACAAGAAGTATTTGCTTGGTAGATTCGGCAGTGAAGCCATTTCATCCTGTGCATTACTCTTGATGAGCTTTTAAAAATTATTAACTAATTATGGACCTTATTTATGTCCTTATTAGTTACTATATGGATCTACTCAGTCTTTGGCTTCTTCTTGGATCAGTCTACAGTAGATTATGTATTTCTAGGAATTTTTCTATTTCATTTAATTTACTGCCTTAATATTGTTGTTTCATGATCTTTCTTTTTTATGTATTTAGTACATGGTCTACAGGGTCTCACCATATAGATCAGACTCATAGTGATCCTCCTGTTTTTAGCCTCCCAAGAGCTGGGATTACAGGCGTGCACCACCACGCCTGGTCTGCATCACCATTTAGCACACCCCTGGGTTGGGGCTGGCACGGCATGTGGTGCCAGGGATCGAACCCTGGTCCCTGCACTTGTCTAAGCAGGTGCTTTAGCCCGATGAGCTATCTGGATAGCCCCATCTTTCTTATTTTTATAAAATCAATGCTAAAATCTCTGCTTTCAATTTTAGTTTTGGAGTTTTTTCCTTCTTTGGTCATCTCACTAAATATTTGTTCAGCTTGATTTTTACAATAACTAACTCTGTTTCATTGAATATTTTCTACATTCTCTTTTCTTTTAATTATTTCTACTGTAGTATTTATTATTTTCTTTTTTCTTATAACTTTGGCTTCAGCTTGTCATTCTTTTTTTCCTGAAGGTTGGTGGTATAAAATCAAGTTGCTGACCTGAGATCCTTCTTTTTTAATATGTGTTTACCATTCTAAACTTTCTTCAGACTTTTTATCCCCTCACAAAATTTTGGCATATTGTGTTTCATTTGTCACTTATCTCAAGATACTTCCTATTTTTTTCTCTACTTCTATTTGACTCACTGGCTGTTCAGGATTGTGCTGTTTAATTTCTGTATTAACTTTGCAAGTTTCCCAGTTTTTTCCATCTTTTGACATCAAGCTGCCTCACACAGTGACCAGAAAGGATGCTCCTAGCATTTCAATGTTTTTCTATTTTTTATACCCATTTATTGGTCTAATGTATGGTCTATCATGGAGAACATTCTGTGTGCAGCTGAGTTGGGATGTAGCATACCATATATTTCTGTCCTGTCTGGTTGGCTTAGCACAGTTCCAGTCATCTCTTGCATTATTAATTTTTGGCCTAGTATCCTATGCAATGTTAAAAATTGATTTAAAAGTTTAGATCTAAAATGTTTTCCTCCTTGGGGCTGGTGAGATGGCTCAGTGGTCTAAAGCACCTACTTAGAACAAGCTTAGCAAAAAAGCACAGGGACCG